CATACTCTGTTCTCATCAAAGTTAGTATAACCACAACCTTTAGGCTTCTTTTTAGCTTTACTCTTTCTCATGTATCATAGATGAGCTGCATTTAAGCTACAGCCAAGAGTACCTCCTTGCAGGTCCACGCACTGGAGATAACGGAGGTCCTTGCTGTGAAGAAAGGGGAATAGAGATGCAAGGGAATGATGGAGCTGAAAAGAAGTACAATAAGAGACTTTGGCAAACTTTTTTCACAGGACAATGATTCATCAGTTTGCTCTCTTCTACTTATGAATCATCTGGAAGTGGGCTTTGCCACAGTGTATGCTCAATCTGTGAGTTGCTTTTGAATTAATTACTATGACTGTCAGCCTTTCTATTAATTTGTAATGTGTAATAATCCAAATCACCTGTGTGATGTCTTTTCCTTGGTTCAAAGATTCATTAATCCCACAAATGGCTTTCAATATAAATGTGAGTATGTTGATATAACTTTCTGTTCACAAATCTATGTTCAGAGAATAGAAGTAGTCCTATCTTTTTTTCCGCTTACAAACTGCCATAGAGTGTGCTTTCAAATTTACATGAAAAGAACATGAACAATGTGTTGAAGGAGAATTTACAGACATACAGATATCATTGTGCAATATTTGCCCACGTTTAAAGTGTTTGTATAAGTATCAAACGTGAGGAAGAATCAGAAACTCATTAACAGAATTTCATGTACATTTAATGTAAACACTATCTACTAAAGTCTCCAATTAGGAAAGCATAACATGGTTAATGTATGTGACTCAGCTGAATCCCAGTGTTAAACGTGCTGTGATTAAGTAATGGATTGCTTTTGGGAAATGAATTGATGGTCTCAGGCTTGTTCCTGCTGGACAGTTATCACTGTCATACAAATGAAATTGTTATCCTATTGCTTTACAAACTAAGGAGAAGGATAATGAACAGAATAGATAAGCAGCAGAACTATTCCTTGTCCTTAAAACATTTAAGTGGCATTTAATCATCTGGATGATATGGTAGTAACTTATATTGCCACTGGCCTTGCTGAAATCTTTGGGGCAAAAAATATAACTTCCAAGGTCTCTAAATCTTTCTTATCAGTGACATCTCAGAT